GTACGACAGAAACTACACTTAAACTAAATAAGTTGAAAGATTCTACAACAATGATCAGCTTGGTATTTGAAGCCTGTGGAACCTTGAGGAACATTAGATATTTTAAGTAGTTTTTAATGAGAGGTTTTTGAGTACTGGGAATACTTAAATATATATATTTAATGCCTTCTTCTGATGTTAAAATTTATCTTTTGCACTTGCATCTGAATGAAATAAAATGGAGTTCCATAAGGATTACGATCAAATAAACAACAAATTATAAATACATGTCAAATTTATTATTTTAAATACATTTGTACATGAATAGGTAGGATTTAATTTACAACAGTAAAATATTTATTATATATAACATGATTTTATTTATATAGACTCTACGGAACTCTTATCAACGATTTAAGGATAAACTTTTATTTACAAACAATCACCTCCATCATGCAAGTGTGAAGTCACACAAATTATAAGCTAGTTACAAAAAGTGTTTAAAAAGACTTGGCCTTGTAGTTTGTGCATAAACTGTTACAAGAGGTTGGAAAAGTGAGTGATACTAGAACATTGATAGCAAAGTTTAGAAATATCTACTATGAAGACGAATCGTAAGACCAAAGTTGGCATTATTGGAATATACACTACTTATTGTTCGACTACCTACGTCTACAGTAACAAGAAAATCACATTCACTTTCTGGAAAAAGATATGCAACAGTTGGAAGATGAAAAGTATTTGTGGATATAAATCACCTAACTAAAAAACTTAGTATGAAATGTGAACAGGTATATAACAATGCACATAAGTAGAAAAACTGAATCAACGTATATTTTAAATACAGATGAAAATATAAAGGAAAGAACAATTTTGAATAAATATACAGGGTGTTTCAGTAAAGCGTAGCGGGCTATGCAGATTCAGATTCTACATGCAAAAATAAGTCGAAAATGTAGAATAACTTTTTTTCGATTTCGGCTTAGTTTGGCCGTAATCCGCCATTTTGTATTTTTTTGAAAATAATTAATAACTCAAAAACCCTTGGAGATACTTTTATGAAACTTGGTACAAACTTTAATTCTACAGGTATAAACATTCTCCGAAAATATCTTTGATCAGGCTCATCAAATTTCAAAATGGCGACCATTTAAAATTTTTGTTTTAATGGCCGGTTTTCATTGTATTTACTTAAAAAATTTTAAATGGCCGCCCTTTTGAAATTTGTTGAGTCTGATCAAAGATATTTTCGGAGAATGTTTATACCTGTAGAAATAAAGTTTGTACCAAGTTTCATAAAAATATCTCCAAGGGTTTTTGAGTTATTAATTATTTTCAAAAAAATACAAAATGGCGGATTATGGCCAAACTAAGCCGAAATCAAAAAAAAAGTTATTCTACATTTTCGACTTATTTTTGCATGTAGAACCTGAATCTGCATAGCCCGCTACGCTTTACTGAAACACCCTGTATGTTACATGAAAATTAAAAATTTTCTACAGGTTACCAAAAAGTCTACCAGATACTAATATGCAAGTAAATATATATAAGTTCATATTTAAATTAAGACAATGCCTTTTAAATACAACTTTCGTAAACAATGAAAAAAATCTGTAATGGTTTTCGCAAAACAAAAATAGGTTACTGTGTCTTAATAACATTAATAACCAGTTACGAAACTAATTCAAACGGAAAAATCAAACAAATGTCATACTGGTGAAGGAACAGCAGAATACATTTTCTTTATACAAAATCTATTTAAAACCATGATCAATCAATTTTCTAATAAAAGGAAGAAAATTAGCCTTACAATTTTATCTTCCAGCGACTTTTGGTAAATATGTATCCATTTTGCTGTTGCCTGAGTCACCTCTGCATTCTCACAAAATATACCATAAGTAATTTTCAAAGAAAGTAATGGACTATTGGCAAGAAATATAAAATCCAAGAGTTTATAATAGACATCCACATATCATGAAGATTTAGGCCAATCGAGAAGTTAGTGGTAGAGTATTTAGAGTAAAGCTAAACAGGTCTCTTCAGTTTTAATCTTCAAAATGTGTATCCCCTATCGAATATTCCAAGTATTTTATTCTATAATAGGTAACTTTAATTATCCTCATCAATGGTTAATAACAACAGAAACTAATACTGGTCTTTACGCCTAAATAGTTAAAACCAGATGTCTTTCAAATGGAATCAAAACTGTATTATTTAATGTTTGCTAACATTGTTTTTAACTAGTTCAACAGAAGAAACAAATATTTTAGTTAATCATAAGTACTTTTACTGCAATTTTCTGTTACGACACAGCAATATATATTTCTCCATGCATAATTGGATTACTAGACTGTATACAGATTCAAAAGTATTATATATGTCCAACATTATCTCCTATGTTTTATTAATTTAATTCAAATCTCTTCTATCCTGAAACATTTGTATTCGTCACAAGTACGTTTTTCACAAAGTAGAGTTATTATAGTAAATGATTAATTTCTTCGCTTTAATATAAGTGAATGGAAAAGTCTGGCAATTCATGAAATTGTCATGTACGAAATGTATGATACAAATGAATACTAACTTAAAGTACATAACACGTTAAATATTTTCTAGCTAATTATTTATAGTTTGCTAGCAAACATAGATTGTAAAATCATTCTGTAAAATATACACTAGCAAAGTTAAAACATCCTAGCTAAATTTTTAAGAGGATTAATTTGATTATTTTTTCAAAGAAACTCATTATGACAGTTTCTAAAATTCATTTGTCCCTTTAAAACATTTGATACAATTCATAAATTCAGATCTTTCTCAATATATTTTTCAGAGACCCTTGAAGTTAAGTGAGATAGGGCAAGTTTAGTTAGGAAATTTAGAGCAGTACAGTGTACATAAGACCATTGATTTGTCACGCGTTAGCTAAAGCTAACTTGTGACTGCTACATTTCGATTGTCTGTGGCAATATCTCTTGGAAAATTAGAAATTAATTAAACCTACCTACCGAGTCGAACGGGTAAACAGGAAAACTCAATTACGACACAGGAATGTAGAAATATGTATAACTAAAAATCTGAAATGTTTACAGTGTTCATTGTCTGTGGAGACTTATGAGTTTTTATCACTTCCATGACGGTTGTGATGTATTTTAGCTAGCAGTTTTATAGGGTTGACTAAAAAACATATTCTATAGAATCAGGTGATAAATTTAAGTCACATTCAGGAATCAAAGTAAGTGAAAATTAAGTTTAAGGATCTAAGTTTCCTACAAAGGAGTATAAATTTGGAAATGAAATATTACTTCAAATATACAGACTCTCTAGCCGATGTCTTTTAGCCAATAAGAAGCTCCATTACTGCCTCACTTTATTAGACAGTAATTCCAAGTGTCCACAGCCAATGAATACATTAAAATAAATCGGTCCAACGAAACGCACATTTCTAACCTAACGTATCACAAAAGAGAGCACATATTTACATACTATTATAACATTGATTTACAAAATAAACAACATTAAAAGGTTTAACACTAATTTAGATACAAAGAAGATTGTCTCATAGAATGGGGACAATGACTGTCACGGATATACAAAAATAGTATTTTACACCCAAAACCTTCATTTCACATCGTGGTACATATTTCAACGCATAACATCACAACATATATAAAACATTTGACGATTGACATTCAGGGCCTGATCGCACTGGGCTTACAGGTTTTGAGTTCTAATTATTACAGACGTATGGAGTTTGTGATAGAACGAGAAACACTGCATTGGCGAAAGCAGATTTACTAAATTATTATCAATTACAATCACAGGTATTTATTCCGTACAGGTGCCTCCAAACGAATTTTTAATTTTGATATCTTACTTTATAGTTTTTTACCTCCTGAATCCAAATATACCATTAATTTTCACCGCTGATGAATATTTCTCAAGATATCGCCGAAAAAACATACCTAACATTACAATAAACAAGATAGGGTGGTAGCTAAGTGCTATTCTGTCTGCTACGCCGTCGCCATCACAATTTCACAAGTTCAGATTAAGTTAAGTGAAGAGAGTAACATGGTTGATGAGAAGAATAACATCGTTGACTAAAGATAATAACATCGTTGTAGACACGGCCGCAGGCGGCCGTGCTTTAGCTTTGTAGAAACATATCAAGTGATTCTATAGTCAATAACTTAATGTTTACTACAATAGGAATTTCGTCACATTATGGAGATATAGATGGAATAATGGACTAATTACTCGTAGTTCTTATTTAGGCATGTCAGGGTGATAGGTCGTGCTATATGTGAATTGGTGACTGCATTAAGTGTTTTGAAGTTAGGTTAGATTAGGAAGGTAAAGTTTAGGTTATAATGTATCGAGTTGTTAGTTTATGTCGCCTGCAGACTGTTTTTGTAAAATTAAAATCCTGAGAAAAACACTTCAAATTACTATTTCAAAAATGCTTGTCCTACCTTCAAAGGACTTAATGCAGTCACCAATTCACATAAAGCACGACCTATCACCCTGACATGCCTTTTCTGACATCAAAAGGAGTTTGCTTACACATTCTAGAGGTTTGGTTAGGTTAGGTTATGTTAGAATAGAACCATTTTAGTATGTAATTTCTAAACGGCGAAATATAAATCAATAAATCATTAATAAAGATAAAATACTGGAAACAATAATACATTATTAACTTATTGGTCTTAGAAAGTGAAAAGTGTAACTTAATCAGGTGATTTTCATATTGCAGAATCAGAGTTAGCTAATAAAAGTTGTCACTTCCATTTGCTTGACTATGATTGAAAGCAATCAGCTGGTTGGTTTACTTAACCCATCGTACATTCCACTTGTAAATGTCATCCATCCTACCTTGTTTATTGTAATGTTAAGTATGTTTTTACGGCGATATCTTGAGAAATATTCATCAGCGGTGAAAATTAATGGTATATTTGGATTCAGGAGGTAAAAAACTATAAAGTAAGATATCAAAATTAAAAATTCGTTTGGAGGCACCTGTACGGAATAATTTCCCAATCACATTTTAACATTAAATGCATTTTTGCCTAATTAGTTATTAGCCACGTTCATCAATGAAATATGTCAACAAATCTTCGAATTTAAGGGTTACCAGCGTCCTAGTTGAGGTTAGGGTAAGTCAGATCCCAAAATTAGGATTATGTATTAAGTAATGTAGAATTAGGACCGTTAGGGTAAGGTTTTGTCATTCGACACTGATTTGGTATAAGTAGGAGGTTTGAGAGTTGTTGAGGTCAGAATAGCTAGGGATATGTTAAAACTCAATAGAATAAATTGAAATTCATTGTTGTAGCCCCGGAACATCAATATTGACAAATTGGGTTTTATATTATCCGCCATCAGTTCCAAATTGCAACATTTGACGTGCTACACGTTACGGCTTGCTACCTTTTTTAAACAGTATATAGAGCAGGAATAATCATTACATCTGATTTGTTGATGGTTTTAATTGTATTTCAAATGTGTTCAATGAGTTTTAAATATTTTAAACAATCAAAGCGGCTGTAAAAGTGAATATACTGTTTTTCCTACACTATATAGTTTTAAAAATGGCAGCTCACCGAAACACGTTTCACGTTTAATTTTGCAATTTGGCACTGATGGCAGGTAATATAAAACCCAATAAATTGATAAATGGGTTATAAGTTATTTCATAAAAATATAGCATTCACTAGAGGGTTGTATTGGCCAAATTGGGATCTATCTTCTGCATACGTTTATTTAAGCTACTAAACATGGCTCAGAAATCTCTATGGACTTAGTTTATACTTCGATTTAAACAGCAGCTAAGAAGGTAAGCTAGCAGAGTTATTAGTTCTTTTTTATTTACAGTCGACAGCACAGTTTGGCTAAGTTTACAGCCATCTGTTGTTTAAAATTATACTGCCAGAATTTAGTATTCAAAACGGTAGAATAAGTGCATCTAAACGCTTCTGTAAAATCGTATTGATCACCTAGTTATCCAACGTAAACATCTGAGGTATTTTTATAACAATATAAATATATAATACCGTGTAAATTTTGCCCTAAAACTTCGTATTATCCAAAAATTAAGTTAAATTACTGAATTAGATAGAAACTTAATCAGGCTATAATATTTAATTTAAACTTTAAGCCTTCAAATAAGTTGAAGCTGACATCAATACGCATTAAATAACCAAACTAGGTTTCCAATAAGTAAATATTTTACTATTTTTCACATTTCTACACACAGTGCATACCAGTAAACCCAGTGACGTCATAGTGGGAGCGTGAACACAATCTTTACAACACAAAACCTAAACCAGAGACACAGACATGATTATAAGCGCTCTGTTCTCCCCAAGACAAAACAAAAATTACATTCACGTAAGTCACCTTTAAGATCTTAGGCGTTTGGGCAGTTTGGAAATAAGTGAAATAAAAAGGAGTCAATTAGTTTTATAAAAAGTAATCACAAACCACGACTTGTAAACCGGTAAAGTAGCATCTCTAAATACACTTGGAGGAATACACAATACAGAGTTATGTACAAAGTGCACTTGTACCACAACGTCACAGTTCAATGAAATTAGGGACAGCAAAATTTCTGCATTGCATTTTACTTTGTCCCAATTTACAACATATATTGGATTTTAGTCATAAAATACAAGAAATTGTTTATTTGTAATCTTTACTGTAAAGCACACTTTATCATCTTAATTTAAACATCACCGTTCTTTCCCTAGGGTAAACTGAAATCCTCATTGGATAACAAACACAATACCACTACGTACCAAACACTGACTCACTGAGAATGGTTCTTACAATTACCAGATTACAATGTAATATATGTTAGCTACAGATTGTCTAAGAATCTGTCACGTTCCCCTTCAAAAGGTGATTTTCATTATTGTATCAAGATTGTCACCGAATAAAAGACAGTACATTGAAAAATTATAACAACGATTTCTAAATAAACAATAAAGTAGCATCATTGCAATGCATGTTGTCAATTCAAATCCAAGGTATAAAAAACTTAAGTGTATAATTCATATTCCAGTACACGTATGAACACACATGTTATCGCCATGACACAACATTCATCAACATTCAGAATAGTATTTAAATTAAAAGAAATTAATATGATAAAATAAACCTTCAACAACTTTAAAAATTTAGTTCATGATTAGAACCCAAACCCACTGAGAGTATATAAATAGTGACCAAAAATCTTTTGAAGTGAAAACGTTACCTTAAGTTAATTATTTTATTTTATTTGCAGTGTTTAGAAATGTACCTATAAATGCACACTAAAATTAAAAAAGTAGCATGACTTGAAGTAAAATTAATGAAAACCTCAAATCGTAGTATTGTTAATTTACATTTGTTTTAATGTATAACCTGCAAATTAAAATTACAATATATGTGAATTTTTCAAGTTTTCAAAGTCTAAAAAAACCTATTTTTTATTCCCCATTAATATATACAGGCTGTCACAAAACACGTAGCAGGCTCTGCAGAACCAGGTTATATTCGTACAAAATTAAGTCGAATAAGTCATGTAATATTATTTTCCAATTTTAGCTCAGTTTTGCCATAATCCACAACATAGAAAAAATATTACTAACCCAATATGAAACATGCAACGTATTCAACTCAAAGCCCTTTTTATTTCAAACCCAACGTGGTTGTAAAAATCGGGTAATAATAAAACCCTAATAAGAAATTAATCATCATAATTTTAAAATGACGGCTATTTACATCTTGCACTTTTAAATAATTGAAAAAAGCCAATAAATCAAAATTGTAGGCGAGATACGATTTAAAGCATTTGCAAATTCAGCCATTAGAACTTTAATTTAAAAAATATGTTTCTTTTCAACATGTTTGACTTATTTCAGTATGTGCGTATAACCTGGCTCGACAGAGAAAGCTAAGCATTTTTGGGACACCCTGTGTATACTTTTTGGAAAGTAAATTACATTGAAATGTGTAGTTTTTTTAATACCAATAGTACGAGTACGTATTTTCGTTAATATTGAATAGCTTAAGAACTAAAATATTTTCATGATTACAAGCTTATATTTTGGACGCCTAATAGTTTTCTTAAGAACTCTGATATTTTGTTATGATAAAAACAATCATATAAATTTATTTCCATAAAAATTATGAGTATATAAAAAACACACCCCATGGTCACAAAATTTAAAGTAATCAAAACTCTAGGTAAAGAATAATTATTCTATGGTTTGAATTTTAATATCCTTTAACATTTCTGTAAACTTTTTTGTAGCAACACAGAAGACCATAGATCCTTTAGGAATTCCAAAACCGATAAATAATATTTTACTATGTACAGTATATGAACTTATTGTTACAGCTAGTTGGGTTGTCTGTCTAATAAATGCATGTGAAAAGAAAGTTGTCGATATTATTAATCTGCTGAACTAACAAAGTTATTTAGAATGGGGTTTTTTCATCCTGTAGATAAAAGTACGACACGCATAACAGGGGTAAACTACATTTAATCCACTAATATTAGAACAGAAACTGGCATTGATCAGAAACATAAACAAATGACGTAACTAGTCCGAATCCTTAACATTAACATACGGTATAGACAGTTCCATTTAAACAGTGTTTAATAATGTTTACTTTCGGGCCAGAAACATCAATTGTTCATGTTTTTTATCAATACCGGGTCGGTTCTAGTATTTGTGATCTAATCTAACTCTTGAACGTCAAAATATAGATAAAATTATACACGTGCGCACATCGAAAACACCTCAAAATATCTACTTATCTTCACCACTACACAACATTGCTTAAAAATAATTTTCTAGACCATAAACCTAGTAGATTAAAGCTATTAGAAACCATCACTTTAAATATTTCTCATAAACATCTATGGAGATAGTATTTATTTTGACAAAAGGCTAACTCTATGATAATATTCTATGTCAAACTAATAACTAAAATACTTATACTTAATGAATAATAAGTTCTTCATTGGTGTTAATATTTTAATTAAACTAAGAAAACGCACTATTTGTGATCTAAAACAGCTAACATGTAAGTATAAAAATACAACTTATTGGAAATCAACGAAACGGAATTCTTACAATTCGAATTCAGTCGAGAAATGTACTAAATAGGCCTATAATAAATAATGACACTCTTTATCTCATGCACTATAATATATGCTCACTATTTCAGATATGTAATGCGTCTATTATACTAGTACATTTTACTTAATGCAACCGAAACATTGGATTGTGAGTTATTCTTTCTACGCTTTAAAAAGGAAAACATACATTTAAATCCCTCTCACGTCTTAATTTGATTACAACAATATGTTACAGCACTTAAAAACATATTTCTTTAATAATTAAATATTTCAATCACTACATAATTTTGTATTTTTATAATATCTGACAATGAAAAGAGTTTTCAAATTTCATAACCTAAAATTAGTTTTTTTTTAAGTGTATTGGCAAATTACTGTTAGGCGGTCACTCGATATCTGACCAACACGTTTGTTATATCGAAACAATATGCTATTTTATACAGTTAAAACACTACCCTGTACATAGAATTTCGAGTCTGTACAGAGTGGTAAAGCATAATATACATGCAAAAATCAATATCTTTTTACATTACGATCTCGTCAAATGAGAAACACAAACATAATCTTGCAGTCCTTCAGTTGCAACGAAGTAACATCTTATGATCTTCCAGACGAGAAAAGTGAGTACTGAAAATTATAGAATAGCTCATATTAAACAGGGCAAGCTTGGAAACATTTGGTAGTGCACTTGCAAAAGGAAGTCTGCGTGTAATTTGAGAGGCAGTATGATAGTAAAAAGTATATTTAGTAAAAGGTTTTGAAAATGAAATACAATAATGAAGTTAAAGCTGCAACTTTACATGACATACACAAAAGCTAGCATATCAATGAACTGGTCAATGAAATGAATTAGCTTCACTTTAACATTAATAAAATTAGTTTCATAAAAAATTGTTTTGTTTACTTAATTTTGTATAGTTTAAAATGAATGAATGCAAATGATATATTTAAGATGTGTTGGACGTTTAAACATAGTTTTATTTTATTAACTGTTTTACTATTTGAAATTTAATCCATTAAAAAGCGTGGATAAATGTAACATAATCTAACTCTATTTTTATACTTACCTCACTCCTAAAGCTAAACACCTCAACAATAAACATCGAAGGGAAAGGGTAATTCACTGGTTTACTAGAGGGACAAGAGATTACACGCGGCTAAAGGTGAGTTTACTTTTTAGATGAGGTTAAGTTGATTACCCGTTTTTTACTCTACATCAGTTCAATTCATGATGATCAAGGGGCCGGATACTACAAGCATAGGACAGGGTGACGGCGCGCTACGTCCGTACCCACGGAAACACAGAGATAGGAAGCGAGAGAAACATGACAGAAGGAAGGACATTGCCTTACATTGGTACCAGGGAATGCCCTTCCGTTGACCTGTGATCCTGAGAGCTGCCTTACCATGCCGGAGCCCAGTTGTTGTAGAAGGCCCGAGCCTTGAGAACTGGAGAGACATGCAGAGGGTCTTCGGGATCTAATACTTTGCATACTGCTGCTCAACAGGAAGGGCACACTACTGCTCGTGTTGGGCATACTGCCTCCCTGCAACACGAACACAACATGAACACGTCAAAGATTCTAAATGGGTGACGTCATAGTATTGCATACTACTGCTCGTGTTGGGCGTACTGCCTCCCTGCAACACGAACACAACATGAAGACGTCAGAGATTCTAAATGGGTGACGTCATAGTATTGCATACTACTGCTCGTGTTGGGCATACTGCCTCCCTGCAACACGAACACAACATGAACACGTCAGAGATTCTAAATGGGTGACGTCATTGTATTGCATACTACTGCTCGTATTGGGCGTACTGCCTCCCTGCAACACGAACACAACATGAACACGTCAGAGATTCTAAATGGGTGACGTCATAGTATTGCATACTACTGCTCGTGTTGGGCGTACTGCCTCCCTGCAACACGAACACAACATGAACACGTCAGAGATTCTAAATGGGTGATGTCATAGTATTGCATACTACTGCTCGTGTTGGGCGTACTGCCTCCCTGCAACACGAACACAACATGAACACGTCAGAGATTCTAAATGGGTGACGTCATAGTATTGCATACTACTGCTCGTGTTGGGCATACTGCCTCCCTGCAACACGAACACAACATGAAGACGTCAGAGATTCTAAATGGGTCACGTCATTTCAAATCACGATATTCTTTAGTCTTATGAAAAATAAAACGTGTTTCTTCACGTACCATTCTATTATTCAAGACCGAATAAGTTCAAATGCATCTTTATTCATGCTAAAATCTTATGCTCTACTGAGGTCTTTAATAGTGAATAATACTAATACTCATTTGCTAAAACTATAACAATTGTACAACTAAACTACAACAAAATAGTAATTGTACTCACGATCATGCTCCGGGCAAGCTAAATAACAACAAACGGAATTAGTTAACAGCTGTTTTGATACCTTTATTACAGTTGGTAATGCAACCAATTACTCAAAGAACATTTAAGTTATACCTTTGATGTCAACTGTAAACGTGTTCATGAAGTTTAAAGAACCCAAGAAGGTTTACCATTAATCATATTAAATCATGCCATCACAACACTACGGAAAAATGGTAAAAGATTATTCATAAAGTATCTTCTATAGCAAGTATTGCATTCCGAACATAATAAGTTAAAGCCAATTTATTTACGATACTTTTTATTTACAGAGTAATAAATTGCTTTCATTATAGTTTTAGAAGTAATGTGAATTTAACCCATAAAGGAACCGCTAACGCGAAAGCATTTTATATTTATTTATTTTTTAAGAGTGCTAATATTTTTATTAGTGATGGAAGTTTATGTTGTGTATATTTATCAAGCATTAAACATCATAAAGTAATTGCAATTACTTTCAATCTTATACAATTAAACTATGAGTCATTAATGAATGTAGAAATGGATTCTATCATTAAAATATTTCTCAGTAAAAATAACGTGAGTATTAAATGGTGACTTGCACAAAACCGATCAGCTGATATTATGTAATTGGTTTATGATTCAAATTTTTAATCCTTTTTAATATTAATTCATACTGCCAGGAATTGTATTTATACATTCTTACTTTTTTATTTAAATATTCTTGGCATATTTTAGAACACAATACCTTGTAATTGAACTGTAGTTTAAAGCAAGGAACATTATTCATTTTCAGTTTGATATTAAATATTTTATAGATAACATTTTACATTTTATAGATAACATTACGATATTTTTTGGACTACTTATAAACATTTTTTTTAACTTTATTATTTTGTAATTATCGTTAACGATTATTATTGGGAATCTAAACTGGGTAATAAGAACAAAATCTTGTTCACAATACTTATAAGTTACAAACAATAAAATACTCAATCCTCTAGTAAAACAATACTCATACACAAACCAACATTTCTAAAAAAAAAACATTCCTCATACTGAAAAAAACATTGAAAATAATACGATAACCTATAATAATAAAGCTTGATAAATAAATGAGGAACTCAAATGCATGTATTTATGGTAAAAGTCAAAATGTTAGGGTTCTGGTTACTAGAATCTTTATTTCACCAAAAATATAGGTTTTAAGAAATAAGTCGTTATGAAAGAGATAGAAGCGTTATAGTATAAAAAGCAAAACTAAAAACACTAAACACATAATAACAACATGTAGCCCCTGAAGTAACAATTTCGAAAATAGCGACTGTAACACATTTAGACGTCCAACGAGCCACCAGCGGTGCTAGGTGAGGAGGGAAGGCGAATGAGAGAATGATTTTAACGAGTTTTTCTTTTATATCAACAGTATTTACATATAGTGAAAAATGATTTTTTTTTATTTCTTACTGATTTAAAACCTACGTTGATAAAGCGGACACAATTTTCTTGCATATTTGTAATAAAAAAGTATTTATGTTACATAGTATAACTAAAATTAAATTAACCGCAAGCATATGTAAAATACTTTTAATTATGAGTGTTTTATTTGGGAATTGTGATGGATTATTTTTCAGTGAACTTTAATAATATGCAAGTATTTAGTTAAATATGTAATTTGTATTCTTGTATAGCGTATTACTTGAACTATTCGAACATTGTTCTAATAATAGAAAACTCCGGTGAAACACAGTCATTTTCTAAAAGGGAATCCAAATAAATTGGAGTAATGTGAGCTATTTTTGGTCGATACTTCTTTCAAATGGGTAAAACATATGGAAAAGTCAGTTATTATCTATGAAATTTACACATAATATACCGTTTAGGACTGTAATTTTTTATAATATATACTCAAGGCTCTATTGGTGTTTAAAATATTTAAAGGTTAGAATATGTGTAAAGAATTTAAACTAAGAAGAGTGATGATTGCGACATTTTTAATATCGACGACTAAAATATTAGTTTCGATTGTGATGTTGTTCGTATGATTATGTAAATGAAAATGTTAATAAATAATAATGAAGGTGACGGGGACGATGACGATGATGATAACAATTACAACCATGATTACATTATGATGATCATGACGATGGTGATAATGATGACGACGATGTCGTTGGTGATGGTGTCGTTGTTGTTGCTGCTGCTGCTGCTTATGACGATATTAATAATGATGATGATGATGATGATGATGATGATGATGATGATGATGATGATGATTATGATGATGATGATGATGATGATGATGACGACGACGACGATAGTTACGATTATAATGATACAGATGGCTTATTGGTACAGCTGCATCACATTAATGGTACTTTACGAAATAGAAAGTATGGATAATGAAGATGAGTAGAAGAAATCGATTATGTTATGTAAAATGACACAACAAAGGAGTGATTACATCGACTACGTCGATAGTATTGATAGTAGGGTAGATGATGATTGTGGTGGTGACATATGGGAGACAAGTGCACAACGGCTATTATGAGCGGGTGACGGACTTACATACGCTGAAGGCACGGATAAACTTGAGCCCTCCCGTGACACAGAACAGTAGTGGAACCCCTGGCAACACACCCTGTCATGTATATGCATGTAGCTGCTAATGGTCTCTGGTACATGGAACTCTCAAACGTGACTTACAAATAAAATACACAAAATAGCAAAAACAGTAGGCTGCGAAAATATTTGATAACTCCAACCTAAATTGGAAAAACCATTAGAGCTTATCATATCCTTTGAATTTTCAGCGTTTGTGATTAAAAAAGGCAATAATAAGCAATGAATGACAATGACAATTGAAATTCAAAAGCATTTAGAAACAGAAAAAGGAGCGGTGAAATGGAATAAAAGGATTAATTGTAAGAAAATAAACATGTAGGGAATGGGATAGAGGGTTGCACTACATGATTGGACTATTTTTCTTGAAGCTTCCGAGTTAATAAATTTATTCTTAATTTAATTTAGGATAGCTATGATATGCCATCAGGGCCGTGGATGGATAGCAGGAAAACTTTCAATATTAAAGGTTTGGTTTTATTTATCACTAAGGAATTGGATTTATAATGGCTTCATAAAACCTAATACATTATACTTTAAATGTTAAAACATTAATCCATACGCTCTGTTTCTCAAATGATAGTTCAAATTTATGCACCTTTCAAATACATTTTAGTAAAAACGTATTGAGTATAATTTCTGCACTATATAATTACATTCAAAAAATGTTAAAGATTTATTTTTAAGTCCAAAAGGGATCGAAAATTAGTTTTATGAATGACGGTGTGGATTAATAAAAGGAACCAAAGCTATTTTAACTCTTTCTTTACACGGAGGAACTAGATGGACCATTGCTTATTATACAGTAGTTTTGTAAAAAAACATATATGAATCAGTGAAGATTTTCTGGTTATAATTCTGATTTAACCTGTTCCTTTTGACCATTCTCATACCTAGATGTTTAAGGGCCTTTCTAACAATATATAGTTTGAAAGTTCCATGAGACAAGTCGTGTCATGAGAATGCTGTATGCGTGTAAGATGTTAGGTAGGAGTAACATGGTAAACTGAAACTTTTACGAAATGTAAATATTGTTGTTGTATGTTCATACATGTGAAATATTTTCCCCTTTACTGTAAAATTTGCCATTTTTCAACTTAACAACTGAACATAAAATATTGAATGGAGCAAACCAAAACCTAATAAAATGTTGAATCATTCATGGTTGAATACAACTTAACAATACAAATCTATAACTACAATACATGAAAAGTAAAATCCATATCAACCGTATTGCCTTGAAAAATCCATTTTCAACATGCCAACTACGTGCGGGTAAAATAAATTACTTTGGTTATACGAGTGGTTCAATCTAAATTTAAATATTTTAAACGTGCTATTTAGTAATAGTTGCACTTACAGTGGGGGGAGATAGGTTGATCGTCGATCCCCGACGTTCCTGTGGACCGATGCTGCTGTGACGACGAATGGGCAGACCTCCTCCTGGCGTACCTCCCGGCGAAGAGGCACAAGAAGGTGCGATGCGGATCTTGGGGGTCATCAGGGTATTGTCGGACAGACGTCGGTTGGGGAAGGCGTTGTGGACCCTCAAGAAATTGCTATCTGGAGAAGACGGTGAGGCTCCAAACCACCAACCGCCTAACATTCCAGAGTCTGTATAGACACATGAATGATGCAATGGATGCGACACCAACGGATCAGGAAGGTCTAAGCTCAGTCATGCAGTCGTCAAGTTTTTTGTCGTGTCAAGTGGAGGTCGAGTAAAATGTGTCAAGTTTAGCATGCAGAAGGTATTGGTAATAATCTATACGGTTAACAGATGATCGAGATGAAACCATGTCGACCCTAACAATGCCAAAAGTATAAGATACCTTTAAAGTAAAATAGCATGCATGTAATAATTTCTTATACCTACTTTACTTTAGTAAGGTGACATCAAATACACATTTGGAGCAAGTAAAAAAATTGGTTTAAGTAGGTGTTGGCCTTTAAGTAGAGTCAAAAGGAGTCAGTACGTTTACGAGTTTAAATACATATTATGATTTCTAAAACAACTTTCTGAAGTGATTGAAATCAATCATATGACTGATTCATTGAACAAAGTCAAAATTGAAAAAAAAACACTTTAACTTATATTTGGCAGATTTGATTCAACACAAAGCCACGAACTTTCCAACAATGAATGGTTTGTTACAGGGTTCAAAATTTGCCATCAAACTACGTCTAGTAAAATCTCTTAACTAACTACATAGCCCAACATCTAGTATGATATTCAATTTCAATTTTTTTCCTACGGCCCCTAAATAAATCGTAGTACGAATCCTGTACAAAGTAATTAACTGAGGGTAATAAAACTGCGTCTTTAAAATATTATCATATAGTAAGATATAGTGTATCTATAACATGTATCTTCTGTGGTATTTTTATTTATACATAATCTGCCATACCATTTGATGCATATAAATAATACAAAAATATGATTTTGGATAAAGCGAATACTTTAGCCCAGTTGCCGTAAGATTAAATATTTGTTGTTGTGTGTTGCATTAATTGTTATAATATTTCCACGATTAATTTATGTAGGGTCGTTTTACTAAAAATGATGTTTCAAAAGATGCAATGAGAGTTTAAATACAAACTTAAGTGCGTAATGTATACTATATGTGTAGCTATATCAATTTGGAAGCAAACATCTGTCATTAGAGACGCTGTTTGGCCGATGTGTAGGCATGCATATTAATTATTGACTGAAGTGTACATCTAGACACTAATTACGTGGCAGTGCTTTGAATAATATTATGGATATGTATCTTCAATGTTTATGATATACATTCATTGAATAAATGATTCTTTAAATTGTTATGCTATCTAGTATTCTGAAAAATATTTTTTTTTTTAAACCCCTTTGGGGGGTTCTATAGGTGGGTATTTATTTCTGCGTGTGAGTATAAAAAATAGCTATGTATAAGAGAGGATATTTGTTCTAACATCATGCATGTCTGTGGAGAAAATGGCTAGGGTGGCTGTGGTGGCTAAATATCTGCAGTTTAATGCAAATCAGTACGAAAGAAACAGTGGTGGTTGTATTGAGGTGTAAATATCTGTTGTAATACAATGTATGTCAATAGGAAAACCACAGGGGTGGTTGTACCAGCGTGTATATCTGTTGTAGTGCAATATATGTCAATAGGACAACCACAGGGGATGTTGTATTGACTTGTGTATCTGTTGTAGTGTATATATGTCAATAGAAAAACCACAGGGGATGTTGTATTGACTTGTGTATCTGCTGTAGTGTATATATGTCAATAGGAAAGCCCTAGAGGTGGTTTTATCAGCGTGTATATCTGTTGTAGTGCAATATATGTCAATAGGACAACCACAGGGGATATTGTATTGACTTGTGTATCTGTTGTAGTGTATATATGTCAATAGAAAAACCACAGGGGATGTTGTATTGACTTGTGTATCTGCTGTAGTGTATATATGTCAATAGGAAAGCCCTAGAGGTGGTTTTATCAGCGTGTATATCCACACGCCACAGGGCGTGTATATCCAATACCACAGGGGATATTGTATTGACTTGTGTATCTGTTGTAGTGTATATATGTCAATAGAAAACCACAGAGAATGTTGTATTGACTTGTGTATCTGCTGTAGTGTAATGCAGTTTAGTAGGAAAACCACAGGGGTGGCGGTATTGACGTGTGTATCTGATGTATCATAAAGCAGTTCAGTAGGAATACCACAGGGTTCATTGTATTGATGTATACATTTGTTGTAGTATAATGCATGTCAATAGGAAAACTACATGGGTGTATTGACGTGTAAGATCTGCTGTTGTTATAATGCATGTCAATAGGAAAACCATAGGGTGGTTGTATCGGTGTGTATATCTGTTTTTTTTATGGTGCATGTCTGTAGGAAAACCACAAGGGTGGTTGTATTGACGTGTAAGATCTGCTGTAGTATAACGCATGTCAATAGGAAAACCATAGGGTGTATCTATCGGTGAGTATATCTTTTGAAGTATAATGTATGTTAGTAAGATAACCACACGGCATATATATATATATCTGTTGTTTAATGCATGTCAGTAGACAAACCACATGGGATGTTGTATCGGCATGTATATCTGTTGAAGTATAATGTATATCAGTAGAAAAACCACACAGGGGGTTGTATCGGTGTGTATATCTGTTGTATAGTGTTTGTCAGTAGAGCCAATGACTGGGGTTGCTGTATAGGCGTGTTTGTATGTTACAGTATAGTGTACTTCAGTATAAACACCGCGGGGTGTGTGGGTGTGGGTAGTGCAAGGTGTGTGGAATGTATAGCAAACACTTACCTGTCGAGTTCTTTCTTGCCATATCCTCTGCACTTGATGTCTTCCGCTGTTCAATGCGCAGATTGGGGATGTTGAAGGGAGGTACGTGCATGTTGTCTGAGCTATACAGATGACGCAGGGGTCGGTGACGTTCGGGGCTGGGTAGCGATATGTTGTCTAGTTTTAATCTATTCCTTTGATTCCTGAAGAATATTTATGGTTAGTAGGCTCAACTCAGAGATTAGATCCGTTTTAGTTCAAACACATGCGTTAACTGTTATGGATTATAACGATTTCTAAATATTGTAAGCAGTAAACAGGTTTAAACTTTGATCCGATTTAGACAACATCCTGATGTTACTATCGTAAATTATCGTGTACATTATCGCATATTATCATGGATTGCCTTAGCATGTAAAACATTTGCAGGAAAAGTAATTGAAAATATGTAGAGTTATAGCTTTGACTGGTAGTTTTTCCCTTGAGTTTGAAATTTTTTTAACTAACTTTCTGGAATGTCACTGAAGGTAACGCTCAGTAAACATACTTTGAATCTTTGTAAAATATAAATTTTAACCAGACAGATCATGGCTACACATCCTTATTAGCGAGGGCTTTGAACTTGTAAATACAAATTTAGCAGCTAAATAAAATTAACTTCAGAATTTTGTTGTTGTTTTAATATAAAAAAGAAACCATATTATAGGAACAGATAGCCCAAACCATTTTAGAGTTACTGCCTCAGGCAAAAACGGTAATTAAATTAGGCTTACCTATCTATATGGTCCAACATTTCCTGGAGGACTTCAAACAATATGGAGAACTGGTCTAGATTCAACGACGGGTTGACAGTTTGTGGTAGCAGAGAAGGCATTACCCTTGTGGCCATCAGATTAACGTTAAGTCCGTATTTTTTGTCACTAAGCATCAGCCTATAAATATCTGCAACGAAATGCAACCTCGTCAAATATACCTTGGTATGGAGGCTTGAATCAATTTTGAAGGCTTCACCGTTTGTTTGACAGCAGTTTGTATGGTGCTCGTTTCATCTAAATTTAAGTTAAACGAATTAGCCAGTCAAATAAACATGGCTCTGGTTATACATTAAAATTATATCACTTACTCGTATTTTATTATATATATCGCTAATTGTTAATGATTATCCTACGAGACAGAAAACCATTCACACGTTCCAACTTTCTGAGTATATTTGTATTCAAGCCTTAACTGCAAACTATGCAGTACAATCGTATTTTTTTTTGCATGTGGTCCATCGTGTAAGTAGCAACACTCACATTATGTAAACATCTTTAGGTATGATGAGTATAAATATTAAATGTCTAGTTCAAATAGAAATATGATCCAAAGCATGTGGGGTATGGGTTTATATGGTTATCATGGGATTGTGAGATTATGGGGTATGGGTTATGGGGTATGGGGTATTATGGGGTATGTGATTATGAGTATACCGTACAAACTTTCAAGCATTAAGAGTGCTAGCCTTTGAATCTAAGGCTTCTGGTTCGATTCCGAGTGGGTTCCGTGGATTACTCAGATGAAATTTGACATGGGGTTATCAAATTTTGCTATCTAAAAACAGGTTGATATTGGCTATCACCAATACGAGAGTTTATATGTTATTTTGCAATAAACGTAAAAGATTCCGATGGCATAGAAAAACGCAAATAGATAAATCTGTTTTGTATAATTTTGCAGTATTAAGTTATTGACTACCCTGAGTTCTCACTAAGATTTTCAAGTCTTATTGCCTACTTGCCCTGACGTTGTTTTTTCGTTACTTACTAACTTGTTTGGTAACTCATTACAAAGTTGCTTACCACCAAGTTTCACTTACTTACAACCCTGAGTATGATGTCTGGGTCTTGTAGTCTCACGTCCCACAACAAAGGAAGGACCTCGTCTATGATCTGCTGGCGTTCCAGGCGGTCCAACGTCTTCTCTATGCACAGCAGGATGTTGGCGACAATCTTCAGGTCACTCACGTTCTTCTCGTAGACAGTCTTTATTTTCGGAAGCACCATCCGACGTATGCTCGTCTCGTCCAGGTACTCGGACACATTCGTCACTGCGACCAGCGCAGCCGTCTGGGGGAAGATTTAGTTATATATATGTAGTTTAAGCCAATTTTGACATAAAATATAGACATCTCATTACTATAATTTGTGTTTAAAGCTACTAAACAAAGCTAGGGGTGGACCTGTCTGATCTGGTCCAAAATTGTGAGGGATGGCCACACCTTTCCGATTCGTTCAGAAGAGGTTGCTAGAATTAGTTGTGAAAGATTCGGAAGGGCACACACGTTGTATGATTACACTCCTCCACGAGGCAAATACGTGATGTCGAAAACAGCCAATAACTCACGGAACCATATGATCCTCACCCAAATTTCGGAAGTGCGTGGCTAACATGTCCGTTCCGCTCCGCTTGCCTACGCCGGACGTGCGGCGGAATGCTCCTTCATGAGGAGGTACCACGTCGGACCGGACAAGTGTAGCCGCGCCCATTTAAATACCTAGGAAGCATTGTCCGCGTTTTTAAGGAGCGAACCGGATCAGATCTAATCGGGCAAGTGCAGTCAATGCTTAATAAGGTCTCTATGGCTAAATCGTATCGTAAAATTGGTCTAACCGTAAAAAATGTACACTATAAAGAGAATCCTAAAACAATAAAAGTTTAGTTCGATCTAAAGCTATAAAACTATTTGCGAAATATATGACTGTGGACAGTTTATGATCCACCATAATTTTAGACACCAATAGTGTATACAGTTGTTAGAATCCACAAAGTTGCTGCCATGTGACGAAGATAACACCTTATTATAAGCTCTAGTGATTTTGTTAAGTAGGATACTAGTAATAATAACGTTGTGGGAGAACCCTTTCGTTTCCGGTTTTGAAAATCTTTTTAGCTGTGTATAATATTCCAAAAGAGAACAATCTATCCCTACGTAATGGCGAATTCATAATTGAAACCCTTCAATGTAATATTAAATAATGATGTGTGTATAGCTGTAGTATGTTTGGTCGTGAATTTTAATACACAGTTAATACAGCTATCCAACCTGAACTAAAGGAAGATATAAGGGAATGAGGACAAGCTAATGTTTAAACAAGCCCAGTTTACAATGTTTGAGTAGCAAACACACTTCCATGCTGAGGATGCTTCGTTTACTAACCATGTTTTGTATTGCAAGCTTGAGTGCATGGTATACAAGTAATATACAAATACCAATTATAACGTTTTATCGAAATTTAAACCCAACAAATTTATTAAGTTAGATCTTTAAACTAAAATGTATAATTAGTTGCACAGCAATCTAAGACTTTCCTTGCCACGTTTTGTTACCTGGACATGAGATTGATTGATAGTAAATGTAGTTTGTAATAAATAATCAGTCCTACCTTTGTTTCATATTCAGGATAAATAATAAAAATATTAATCGACTATTGAGGCGTCCAGCATTTTCATTAACCTATTATTGTTTACAAAGTAGAAGGAATATTTAATTCGCATAACTGGTTGTTTGTCTTTACTACTTATATAATTCACGACCGTAATACCATAGTGGTTATTACAGATGACACGATAAATAAGGCAACAAACTACGTTTTTCTAGCGCAATTTCATCCGAAAAGATAAAAATTTAAATTTGTGTTTAAAAAAGACTAACTAAAATCACATTACAAATTAAATATTGTAAAAACCTCTAAATATAATAATGTAAAATGGTTAAGGTATTGGGAATTCATGAGAAATCTCTAGACCTCTATTTCCTAAAGAAATAGTCCTTAAGATTCCCACAATAAATAACAACAACTCAACAAGTGGGACTGAAAAGTGTCGATAAAGTTTTGTTTGAGTTGGGACTATGGCCCAGAACTCTCAGGATATTTCCAATGTTTACTTTCTACAAAGAATATCTTCCTGTGAACAAACAACTGGGAAAATGTTTCGTCAGCATTTCTCTACAAAGTACAAATCTTCAATAGAATATTTCTTCGTAAGGGTGATAAATAATTCCTTATTATGTAAAAGGGCCATTTAAGGCCATTTATTATATATTTTGACATTGTACTCATTAGTACCGAATAAAGGTACATATTTTATAACTAAGGGTAGCAAACTGAACAGTAGTTAGGAGTACTAATCTTTTAACATAAACTTATACTGCATAAATCTATTATACATGGTGTAAATAAAATCCAGCACATGTTTAATATGTTCTTAACGATAACAGATATATCAATAAGAATTGACACATCAACATGACACATAAAGACTACTTTTTGAAGGAATAATTATCAGTATTTTTTTATATCATGGGGACGTCCCACAAGGAGTCAGAAGGAAATCTTAAATTGGTTGATACATTTAAAAATACATATAGGTTGATATGTACATAGAATTAAAGGCATTTACTAGCAGAATACAATGCCATAAATTTATGCTCAAAAGAACAACTGAGTAAAAAATGTCAGCTGTTCAAAGATTCAATATGGCACATTCAAGAAATCTTTGAACGGCTGCCATTTTTTTACGGTTGTCCGTCTTAGTTAAAATTTGTGGCATTGCATCCTGCTAGTGAAGGCCTTTAATTCAATGTACATATCAACCTAGGCTCCTATTTAATATTTCCTTCTGTGTCCTCAAGGGGGACGTCCCCATGATATTACAGAAAACTGATAATGCCTTCAAAAAGTAGATTTCTACTTGTTGTGTTCATGTACCAATTCTTATCGGTTTATCCGTTCTAGTTCAGAACATATTAAACACGTGCGGGACTACTCCCTCTAAAAACGTATACTTTATAAACGTATAAGTAGACATTTTATAGGAAACACTTGCCTGTACTTGAATGGTTGTGCTTTCAAAGGCGTTGTACAACATAGGAAGTACTTCTGTTCTAATATCATCTCTTGGAGTCTTTTCCAAAATTATGTGCAGATTTTCTAAAAGAGTTACCGATGCTTGAATTGATTTCGGGATGGAGAACACATTCCTGAAAAAAATATATAATGTACTACTGGACCTATTAAATTGCATCTTTGTTAAAACACAAGTAACTTTAAATATGATTTATTATAGCATGGCTGATAAGTATTTAGAGCACAATACTTCTGTCTTCAAAATCTGGAATAGAATCCCTTCAACCAAAAATGGGTTTCTTAATTTCAATTATACCACTTGATGGTAAAATGCGAATTACATAAATGGGTCTTCCCCATTTATTGAAACAGTAATTGCACTACAAATACGCTTTCTCTCGACATGAAAAACTATACTGAATTACCCTCTGCATAAAATCCAACATGTCGAGATAAGTTAAGACACACACAATTACATGTCCTTGATGGATTAATTATTTACAAACTATACTTGGTGTGCATTTTCGTAGGTTTATTTTACCTGGGCCAAAGATAACAGTCTATGTTTCGTCCATGTAGATCATTTTTGGTGAAAGCATTGATAGTAAATTAAATGTCTTATTTTTTCCATGAAATTACTTAAAGCAAAATATATTCTGTTGAATAGGACTAATATAAGTGAAAAACCCATTGTAAGATTCTTGCCAGGTAGACTTTCATATCAGTTGTCAAAAACAACCGAATGAAAATATCTATCAATAAATCGATTATTTGATATATCGATTATTTTATTCGGTATATAGTTTGGTTATTTAGGTTAACCTAACCTAATTAACCAAATGATTTATTGAATGAAATAATCGAATAAAATATATCGATCAATATTTCCATTTGTTGTCTTGCCAAGTAAAATATTAGGCTATTTTCATTCCCACTCTACCACAGCTGATTATACTTAAGGGTTCTAAACACAATACCTGAAGGCGGGTAAAATGATATTCTCGTACTCGTCGACCGAACACTCCTGAATAAGATGGATAATGGGTTGTAGAACAGCTGCGAGGACTTCTTGTGTGCGCATCTCCTGTTGTAAAGATGGCCAAACATGCTGAAACCACAGTTTCTGAAAACAGAAAACATAAAGTGAGAAGATGGATGGAAAATATAACAATGCAACTTAAAATTGGCTTACAAAGAAGAGGATTTTTTACCGTCATGATCTAGATAATGCCAGGAATAGGTAGTAAAGTGTAAAGAAATCGTAAGTTTATAATAGTAGTTTTCTTTGAATCCATAGAGCAAAATAATCAATCGAGGTATATTTTATTTAGGTTTGTATATTTTTCATATCTGTAACCTTGGCCAACGCCAAAAATTTAGATTAACACAAATTCGAAATTACTGTGTTTTGTGACTATGGTCATAACCGTAGTGTCGGAAAGTGCAGGGAATTATTTGATTGGAGACGACGTTATTGAACAGGCGTGAACCATATAATGCGTATTGGAGGAGCGAGTTGGTTAAATTGCGGAACTTCGGTCCCTAAAATTCCGGGTACAAATCCTGCCAAATAAATCCCCAATAGATTTTATCTATGTGATAATGCCGCATACACTAGGTCTAACCTGAAGTAATGTGAAAAAACAATCACGGGCTCGTGCCTAGCGTTCTAGGAAAAATCATGCATCTAATGTACTTAAAGATCAGAATCATCGTTAATAACTATTTATAATAGTGAGAAAAAGCAGCTTTGGATCCATTCATAGCTATTCATAGACGAGGGTGTATAAAGCAACCACGATTGCATAGAACAATATGTCACGATTGAGTTAATTGAGCATAGGACGATTGGGTGTAAGATGAATTTGAGGAGAGGTTATTTTAATGAATAGTGCATCAATGCATCAGTATCCTAATAAATTGTATTTAGAAGAGAACTCTAAGGTAGTTAAAAAAATATTTTCCTCCTCCATATAAACCGTGTGTGTTAAAATAATAAGATAAGAATATTGGTTACTAGTTTAGAAGTTTACTATATGTTTCTCGTTGATGTATTTATAATTGAACATTGTTTTATTCTCGGATAATTTTCCCTAAGTAGGTAAGATTATCTTCATTTATTATATGTTATATGAAAAACAATGTTTTTGTAATAAGAGTTCATATGTATACTTCTAATCTACCGAAGTAGCAAACGAGTAAGGCAATAGTTTTGACATAAAGCTATGTATCTTCATAGATTAAGAACATTGTTTTTACTTTACAGTTAATTTTTAATAAATCAACTTTAAAAAAGTTAGTTATAACATCGAGTTTTACACGTAACATAGAAACGAAGCCTAATATGTAGCTTCTAATATATTTTAGCCAATATAATTTATCATATTTTTTCATTGGTACTAACTACTAAGCTAATTGTACCAAAATTGTTCCTTCCATATACAAAATTAAACAATAAATTAATAGAAACTAATTAAAATTTACATAAGATTCATTCACCTACCCTGCTTTCCACTATTTTTTATTAGACTATGTTATTTACTCTTACATTTATTGATTAATCAATGCATACAAATTTAGATTACTAAATTAAGGGTGGAATAACAAAAATTCTAAAGATATTTCAAGACCTTGGCATTTTAACCTTTAATCATATTTTAAAGTCGTCTTTTCCTCATCTCAATTGGTAATGTTCACGTAATGATTCCTAATATAACAGTTGGATAACCAGTTTCGCAATACAAGGACACAACACAGGTTCAACGCAGGTGGTATTAACTCAATATAAATGTAAATTACCTCGTCAACGATGTGATTGTGATCGCATAACACGGTGGCAATGTTTGCTTTCTAACAAGCAGAACCTAATTTAAACTGGTTAATTGAGCTTTTTGTACTTTAAAAGCGTAATTTAACCTAACAAACTAGTTCGTTTCCCAGAATTTAAGCAATTTTTGTACATGAGAACAGAACTAAAATTTTAAAATGTGGTATTTTTGGCATGGATAAAATGCATTGTGTTCACAAACAATCACTTAGTAAGCATTTTATATGAGTTACCATGCAGCATTTATAACTTTTTCAACTCCTTTCTGTATGGGAAATGATGATGATGGAACAATTACCAGACTATTCATTAGGATATAACTATCATAGTACATTCTCTAAACTAACCTAATGAAAAATGTCACCTAATTTATTACCTACCCTTGGAATGTAGGGTAAGACTTCTCTTAGGGTATTTCTATAGAAGTGGGATTTTTGTGTTGGATCCTTCATATTAATAACGTCTAGGAACTGCAGCGCCTGCACTGCAGGGTCACTGAAAAAAATAATAAGTTATTAATTAAATAAAACATACAATTATAAGAAAAGTTTATCGTTCTAACAGTTATTTGGTCAAGCTCATCATCAAAATTGAAATTAAATATTTAAAGTAAACTGAACGCATTACTGGACCTTAAAATACTTCTCGGCTGTTCCATTTATGATGAATATATGAAAGATTGCTTTTAATCTACGTTGTAGCTTAATGACAAAAAGTTTGACTTGGTAAACAGATTCGTGTATTCAACAGTAATTAGTATCATCGTGATTTAGCCTCCGGATAACCAATATTTCAATAAAGTGGTTTAAATACCTGCATAAAAGTTATCCAAAATGTTGCTCAATATGCTCAATGAGTCGTCGCAATAATTTCGGCCTTGTCTTCAGTGTTAAATGTTCGTGTTTCGTGTTTGTGACTATATGTGCATGTTTTTACGCCTTTTGACGACCTTCGCAAGAAGAGAAAAAATGTTTTGACATCCTGATCGGCCTGATGAAGATCCCTATTGTGGATTGAAACCGGTTGCCGTGAGCAACATTTTGGATAACTTTTATGCAGGTATTTAAACCACTTTATTAGTAATTAGTAATCTAGATCAGCACAATCTCAAGCTCACATCAACTAAGACAATATTGATTAAAACGTCTGGCGACAACTTTATCATGGGATGGAAGTTCTAGTTGTATTATTAGTCAAAGCTAATAGGTTAAGATTAATGAAGTGACATGTATACCTAAAGTACTTGATGAGGGAGAGGAGTTGGGCAGTTGGCCGCTGTCTTGTTTCCCGACTGAGAAGCCTAACAGCTGCCTCCTGTAGAGGAATAGGCACCCGAGGTAGCAAATTGTGCACTTGGTCTTCCAGCTGAACAAGCATAAACACAAGATATATATATATATATATATATATAATAAAACTAGTACCCATGAAGATAAAAATGGTATACAAGACCATAGCAATCTTTCCCCTCCCAATAAGAATAATTCCAACCATCATTTTTCCCAGACCAAACATTCTGATATCACACTGTGACCGGGCGATCAAATAATAAGAGTTTTGAACGAATTTTAATTCGTAGATTTTTACTTATGGAGATATGCAATCCATATATATATATATTTTTTTTTTACAAATAATTAAGTTTCATGGTGGAGAGGGGAGTTGAGCGAGACGCTATAAAATGTAACACTTCCCTAAAAAAAGCATAAATTAAAATACTGTTCGTATGTTAAAGACGCCAAAATTCAACTACACTAACCAATAGAACATAGGTTTCAACAAAATGTTGATTGCAAAAACTTTGAAAAAAAAATTAACCGGTCAATTCGGTGTTTATTAAAAAAGCATTTAGTATAAACTTTACTAATACTGCACGTAAAAACTTTAAACTAACATATAAAAATACACTAAATACCTAACTATTTCAATTCTTCAAAATCTCACAATTTAGTAACTTACATACAAAAAACTGTCTTCCCAACATAACGTTATGTGAAGATTTAATTTTATTCAAGTGACATATATAAGAGATAAACACTATAGGTACTTTAGTATTTGACCAGCCACACCTTATAGTTATAACCTAGCCTAACTTAGCCTAACCTAGCCTAACTTAACCTATCCTAACCTAAGGGTGGCCTATGTTTTTTGGTTAGGTTAGGTTTAGGAAGATTTTTATAACTAACTAAAATCATATTTGTAAGTCGATTTATCGGTGTGCTCCGTATAATACCATATGCAATTAACACATCCACTACCAGGTTCTATAAACGTACCAGTTCCAGCTGCTTCAAGTAGGCAGAGCTACTGTGGTTGGCCTGTACAAGGGGTCTTCCTTGGTTGAAGATGGCACATATGACCATTCCTAGTGAGAACATGTCACTCAGCACACTACACTGAGAAGAAGTCTGAACCTCTGGGGCTGTGGACAGTGGATTTAGTTAATTAAATGTTGTGCAGTTTATAACCAACAATATATAATCTGTGGTTTACACCCTAAAGATCTTGCAAACAATTGTGGTACTTTGTAAAATAACCGGAAATTGATAGAGGTGGGTATAAAACCCATTGATACAATGTCTAAAATTGTATTATAGATAGGTAAATAATGAGGGAACACGAAAACGTATTGTTATCATTATGTACATAGATTTTAGTCTTATCGTGGCAGTACTACTAATATTAACTAAACTTATCATTCCTGCTACTACATGTAGAGTGACACAAATTAACATATGTCCACGTTCAAAATATAAACATAAATGTTTGACAGCAAAAAATTAATGATTCACACAACAACATATGAATGTTTACTAAAATTCAAACAAGAAAGGAAAACAAAATATTTTATTGTAAAACATTCCTATATGCAAGTAGCCCTTAAGTTATTATTTTTTTAAACATATTCTTTATATTGATAATATTACTTTTTAAAATCTCAATTCTCAACTTAGTAAACACAAAAGGGCTTCAAAATAAACTAGCTGCTACCCGTGGGCTTCACCCTGTTTGACTGCATAAGTATTAATAACACTATTGATTGGTAAAACGCTAAGCTGAGCTTAAGCTTGGTAAAGCTTAAGCTGAAACAAACAAAACAGAATACAGTAATACAAACAAATAATCACACCTGATTTTAATAATGTAATAAAGTGAAAGAATAACGAACAAATAAGTACAGCTGGGGTATTTTTAACATTAGGTATGTAGAAAGTTCCCTTTAGTAAGGAATTACGACCTTAAAGGCTAATTTATTAAATAATAGAGAGTTTTGCGCAAGGTGTCTCGTCATGACGAACGTTTTAAGTATATGTTTTATGGAGGTGTGACTTGTAGTTTTCTCAAACGTTCGTAGGCACTTTAGGGTTTATATATCATATTCATACAAGTGGCCTATTAAAAAAAACTATAGTTTTGAAGCCATGCATTCTTTGACAACTGGCTTAAATTTTAAAATTACAGGTATCTTTGGTTTATGTGTAGGCCTAATTAAATTAGTGTATTATTACAGTGCAGCTTTATCGAAGACAACTACAGACATCACCTTCAGTATCCTAAAATAAATTTAAACTCGTGAAACATTTTTAACAGTTCAATGTGGAAAAGTTAAAAGAAATAATGAGTCTTGTTATCGAAGCTGGGATGTCACTCACAAACGAGGCGTCCTTCACGCTGTCATGCGATATTTTAACGTTTCACTGCTAAACTTCGACTTTTAACTTTTATAACGAATCGTGGATTTATTGTCAGATTGTTTTATGTCTATCTCTACAATTCTGTATACTTCAACATAACATGAAAAAATGCATGAGAGGTGGCTAGTTTTATAATGTATTTTATTTCCATCATTGTGTTGCATTTTTTTAGGAATTATTGTCAAGTGCGTTTATGATAAACCAAGCTCTTTCTGAGGAAAAAATTGCTTTTACGAACATGTTACAAATGTTAATTGAAGCTGTAATATATCAAAGTGTTTCTTTTTCGTTTGTTAGAAATTGAAATAAGTACATTAATTACAAATTACTTGAATCGTCCACTTTGTAAACCATTTTAGCTTTTAGAGCATAGTGTATGGTTTATTCATAATTTAAAAAAATGTTCTAATAACTTGTATACATTTACTGTTATTAAAAATCTATTTGTAAGTAGTACAATGACTAAGGTAGCTTGAAATTAAGAGCACGATCTTGAAGGATTTAGTTTCAAAATCCAAAATATCAATTTAAAACTTTACTCCATAAATCATTTTATTCAGCTATAATTAAATTAATCGTGTTAGTATATAAAAAAAAAATCCCATATGTCTTTTCATATTCCCAAAAGTAACACATACGTTGAAGAATGTCTTATAATATTAAGTCAGTGTTTAGATTAATCACTTTTTAATGACAAAAATAAATGCTATAATGAGGGCTAATAATCTTTTAAGCAACTGCCTCGCCAAACGAAATGCTTTCGATGTTACCTTAAAACTCTTTTATCTTATAAAAGGGTAATGTTATTACGAGAAAGAAGTTTATTCTGTTACATAAATAACATGCTTTCCCCCGAAGATTTAAATCGACAAAAACATTATTATTTAATGTTTTAACTTATTTAATGATTTACTCACCAGTGTAATCCAGGTCAGGTTGGGCCATCTTGGGGAGGCGAGAGGTCCAGGGTTGACAGGATAAAGGCTCTAGACCATCAACGTCATTCATACGCTCTGAAAATATAGATTTGGTTAATATTTTAATGGTATAATGCTTTAATGTTAAAATTAAGCTTAACATTTGCTGCGAGTGTTTGTAATTGTATGTATTGAGATTGTATCTTCGTCCTTAGAAGATAATGAACTATACGAAATTGTAGTTTAATATTTTTAATTTTGCTCAGAATTAATATCTTAAAATATATTTGTCAAAAAACTTGATTGGCATATCATTAACAGGTAATAGTAAGTATAATTTTGTTTTCTGTTTCATAGATGTATTTATCATATTGTATTTCGGGGACAAGAAAATAAGGAATAATAAAAAGGTTACATACCTCTGCCCGTCTTCAGTATTAAAAAAATAGTCTGAGGATGACTAGTTTAAGATAAAATACACATCAAATTGAATATTCTATAATCTGATTCGAGTTATGTAACCTTTATATTATTTCGTACAACCAGTCTTGGTGGCAAGAATGTTAAAAAAAAAGAAAATAAGATATAATGCATGAATAAAATAGAACATGTTGTCATTCAACCTGTCCCACAACTTCAACTGTACGGTTAAATAATTTTTGTTTATCATCAATTACTTTTTTACATATTATTTTATTCGTAAAAGAAATAGTGCGGTTTAATTTAAAGAATGTTAACCAATATGAAATAAATAAAGTCAAGGCGAGGTGGGTTTCTAATAGACAATTTAGTGACGTCCCCTCGGATTTTTTTAAACCATTTTAAGACACATTTTGTATGTTAAATGATCGAGAATGGATAACAATGGTTTACACAACAGACTGAAACTGTGATCCAAGCTGACCGCAATGGTACTATTCGATCCTGACATTCGATTACATCGTTAGGAGTTTGATTAACCAGTTGTTTCATCATTTGCTTAAACTATTTAACCAACTAACTGTTGTGAATAAATGGAGATACTATATTTCTAACAATAAGCTTGCAATGTTTCTATACTTTAGCTTAACATGTTAATGAGTTCATAAAAATAAAGTATTTATACTCTTAAATTCTATTATTAACAATTGTTCACTTGGAATCTCGGTAAAGCCTATAACTATAAACATTTACAAAATCACATGTTGGTTACATTAAAAAAAATAAAAATGACAATAACATTTGAGGGCTAATGTATTTGACAAACATATTTCTGTTATACGGTACTGTATAAAAACATTAACTAAACGTTAATGACTCTTCTTTGTTAACGTGTTCGACATCGAAGATTCTTAAGGGATGTTACACAGAAACGTAACTGTAAATCATAAACATATATATTATAAAGGCAAAAGGTGTGATTCCTTTTGTTACTTTTATTATAAAATGCACACCCATGGAGTAAGTAAGTATCTAAACCATAGACGACGGCAAATAAAAGCAAGTTTTGGAGTTGTAAATCATCTGTAGTTCTGGACTAAGTGCAAGATTAAAAATGGGGCGTAAAAGGGGTTTACTTAAGGGAATAACCTACGAGAATAACAAATCTAACACAAACCTCCATTGACTGGATATGTACAAATATGGACACAAACCAACTCACTCCAGAAATCATCAATGCAGGACTTTCGGATCATACTGCTCAACTCTGTACTGTAAACTTCAAATCACACATCAACTCAAGTTATCCTGCCCAAATTGGACGCTGCCTAAAAAATAAAAACCTGCAAGACCTCAAGTATCTTCTCAGTCAAGAAAACTGGCTTAGTGTTACCTCAATAAACAATGCCGAAGAAGCTTTTAAAACTTTTAGTAACATAGTGAGAGTAGCTATGGATGCAGCCTGCCCCCAAAAGAAGATAAAAATACAAAGAAAACATAAACTAAAATTCTCCATGGACCCAGAAGCAGTGAGACTTAAAGCCGAATTTCTTAAAGCTCTAAGAAAGTTTGAGGTGACGGGAAATCCAGATGACAGAAGGGTTTCTATTGAAAATAAAAAGAACTATGACCTGTACTTGAAAACGATGCGGAAAAAGGTTAACTCTGACCAGTTGATGAAAGCTGAAAATAAATCTAAAGCTATCTGGGAAACAATAAACACAGTGTGGTCCAAAAAGGAAACATCCCTAAATGAAATAACCCTTCAAGTAGATGGCCAACTCATAAGTAATGTGACCCATGTTGCAGAGCATTTGAATACATTTTTACACAAGTAGGAGAAAAAACAGTAGAGAAACAAAAACACCTAAAGACCACAGCTCAAACTCCTGACGTAACTCAAACAGGTCCACTGTTTTCCTCCTTTCAAAGCACAGACGAGAAGGAAGTTAAAATGATTATAAACAAACTTAAAGCAAAAAACTCGTCTGGAATTGATGAAATCTCGTCAAAAATACTTAAGCATTGCTGCAATGAACTAGCACTACCATTGGCTGATTTGATAAATAAGTCCCTAAAACAAGGCATCTTTCCTTCACTACTTAAAATAACTAAAGTATACCCGAAATTTAAAAAAGGTAGCACATTAGAAGCAAGCAACTACAGACCAATTTCCCTCGTTTCCACCTTCTCCAAAATATACGAAAAAGTTGTTTTAAAAAGACTTTTAGACCACTGCACAAATCACAACCTACTAAACAACCTTCAACATGGATTTACAAAAGGGAAATCCACAACAACAGCAATAATTCAGATGGTTGAGTCCCTGATTGACAGCCTAGATGAAGGAAATCTAACAACAGGAATCTTTCTTGATTTCAGTAAGGCATTTGACTGCCTTGACCACCAGCTAATCATTAAAAAGCTGGATTCCCTGGGGGTATCAGGGATAGTAAGAGAATGGTTTCAAAGCTACCTTACAGACAGGAGTCAGTTTGTAGAACTAAGGCACAGAGATAACAGCCTAATAAGAAAAACAAGATCAAATTTTCAACCAATAAATCGAGGAGTTCCCCAAGGTTCAGTTATGGGTCCGGTACTGTTTATTCTTTTTACCAACGATTTGCCGCAACAAATAGGAGACGCCTGCCTTACTCTTATGTATGCTGATGACACAACCTTAGTGTTTAATGAACCACTAGCTGAAAATCTAGAAGTAAAATCCTATGTGTCACTCAGTATGGCCTACCAATACTGCTATAACAATGATCTCGCAGTAAACACGTCTAAAACAACTCAAATAGCTTTTGGCCGTAAATCTCAAGAAGTGCCACGACTCCCAGATGTAGAAGTGGAAGATGAAGCTAAGTTTTTGGGCATCACACTCGACAAGAATTTAACCTGGACCCCTCATGTGGACAATATATGTAAAAAATTAAGTTCAACCATCTATGCTCTTAAACATATAAAAAATGCAACAGATGACATGACAACAAAAGTAGCATACTTTGCACTTTTCGAGTCGCATATGAGATATGGACTTGTAGCATGGGGTGGAACCTCTGCCAGTAACATGCAAAGAGTTCTCAGAAAACAAAAAAAGGCAGTCAGAATAACTGCAGGACTCCACAGACTCGACAGCTGCAGGGAAGCATTCAGGTCACTCAAAGTACTTACCCTTGTAGCACTCTACATCCAGGAAGTTGTGTTATTTGCAGTAAGAAATAACCCTACAAGGCGTGGCGAAATGCACCAACACAACCTGAGAAACACCATGCAGTACAACCTTCCACAACATCGCACGGCACAGTTTGAAAAGAAACCTTCATATGCAGGAATGAAAATCTACAACAGGCTACCTCCAGATCTAAGAAGCAAGTCAGAAGATGACCTCAAACCAGCTTTGCATCAATGGCTCATTAATCGACCTTTCTATTCCTTAGAAGAATACCATCAACAGGTCTTTGACTAAACAACACCTCAACCAAACATTTAGAAAAAATTGTAAATTGACGCTACTACTATTCTTAATGAATGTGTAAATAAAGATTATTTGTCTATTGTCTATTGTCTATTGTATACTTGAAGTAAACTATCAATGTAAGAAATTACTCATCATTTACTAGAACTCAAAACACTTTAAAACATTCCTCAAGTAGAAGAGGCTATCGTACTTAACAGGGTATCACTTTATTTCAATGGATGAATAATGTGAAAAACTGTTTGGCAACACTAGGATCGAATCATTGCCTCTGTTGTAAACAGACTACAACTACTTAGAACCACCATGTTACAATACATAAACAGGGGGTCTGATAATAACCAGTAATCAACGATGACCAAGAATGATTGCCAAACTAACGACTATCGTCCAACAGGTACATGGCAACTGTTTGATATGAAAGCGATATCGTGATATTGCTACACTGTTGCGATATTGGCTTGGGACATGACGAATCGCATCAACAAAGCCACAATCCAAATTTACAATGCGATTTGTTCCTTCACATCATTGCAGCTATTGATCCTGTGTGGTTTAGTTCTATTGTTTTGTTTAATGTGTTAAAAGCATTGAAATCGGTTTAGTTGTTTTTGTTTACACAATATCGTTGCCACAGTAAAACAACGAGCTCGTATTGATGTTTGCAGTTATTTTAACGCAATTGCGTTATCAACTGTATATTGTTTTATACTGTTGTAAAATAATAAATATCTCGTGGATAGGTACAGGTTGATCTTTTGGTATAGTTATCTTCAGTTAACTTTGCGTATTTAGTATCAAGAAGATAATGCAACTCCCTAGATTATACATCTTGTAAAATATATTTTTTCTTATGACGTCATTCATCAACTTCTGTTTTGAAAGAAAAATGAGTGGGGCAAAATTAAGTAAATGCACCAATTAACTACTTGGAGTGCAAGGAAGCCCACTTTGTCAGGTAACTGTAGGCAACATTTGTATTTTTATTTTAGATTTATTAATGGCGTTTGATGTAAAAATATAACATGATAGCACATTTTTATTTATGAATACGCATTGTGCCAAATAAAAGGGGTTTCCTTAATTTTACAGTAGTGTAATATGGAGCAGTTGACTAAACGTAAGTTTTAATAAAGGTACATTATCAAAACTGAAATTTTTATGAACAAAGGCTTGACCATATTCAATTAGTTTGGAAGTAATATAAAAGTAAATTTATTCATTTATATAAGCTGTGCCATCACAAAACAAGCTAGAGACTTGAAAAAATATCTGAAAGGATAGTTGACTGATTTATTGTATGCAAATTTAATTTTCATAATAAACGATTTCTTAAAATTTGTGATTTCTTAGAATTAGCCACAATGTCTGGAAAAGTAATCAGTATACCAATGGAATAGATTATTTGAATGAATTTATTCAGTTACCTATTTATCAAAAACGTTCTAATTTTTTACATATTTAACTTTATAGTTCTATATCGCTTACAAACATATACAAATAGTAATATTCAGATAATATTACACAATTAGTCTCCTTGAATTTTTCCTATTTATTTCTCAACGATACAATTTAATCACTCAACTTTGCCAATAACTCGTTAGGCTGCAAAGCCTGTTACCTAACAGGATTAACCACCTCAAATTTGTCTTAGGTAGTTTAAACCGTCAATTGTGGTGAGAGGAGCGACGTGACAAAGAAGTTCCTGAACCACTCACAACTCTCAGAGTTTACCATCTTGCCTTCAGAGGCTAACTTTTGTCTTGATGCTGTTGTATAAATTTAGTTATTGTAGCAACAGAAACTAAGTTGACTGTTGGTGTTCAACTATTCGTGAAATAATTGTATTATGCGCTTTTGTTTTTAACTAAATAATACTTTAATATTTAAAGCGGAAAAAGACATTTGAAATTTAATAGAAAATTATGTAAAAAGTCATTCTGATGTTCTTGGATACAAATTTACTAAATATTTGTATTTATTAAAGTGACTTTATTTTAATTTTTCAACTATAAGTTTATAAGATAAAAACATTCATAATGTTAAAAATATAGTAGAATGTTTTTTATGAACCGATCATATTATAAATTAATTACTTTAAACCCATTATTCAACACCAATTTACTGTTAGGGTGTATTCAGTTTGATTACTGTAGTAAAAATTTTAACACCATATTTGTTGATTCGATATAGGCAACAGGTTTTATAAATACTTGATAAAACAAAGAACTTGCAAAAATTCGTTGCCAAATTTATAAACGATTTTAACCACTTTACATGTTGACTTGATTAACACCTTACAGTAAAAAAAAAAAAAAATCAATTGAAAATTCATTTGAAAATTTTTTGAAATTCATCATTCACTTGGTATTTAGATGAGTACGACTTCAGACTACATTAGGTTCCAGCCTCATGTTTATTATTTTGCTTTTGGCGAGATATTTAAAGGTGGGAAATCTTCGTATTCTACTTTTAGGATTGTAACACTTAAAGGGAGGTAAAATTGTGCCTCCTGAAGTACAACATTAACAAAAATATTTATTATACATTAATTAAAATGTATCTTATGAAATAGGGATGGGGGCCTACCAGAAGATCGACAAGATACTTGGTAGTCTGGCCACTTGATCGTCTTTTTTAACGGGACACAAAAAATAACTTACTGATAAAAATACACGAACAACAATGGACCCCCTAAAGGACTCTTGTACTACCCAGAGTATACCAACAACAACTCACTTTACACTGGCCAAAGTACATTAAAAATTATACAGGGTGTTTTTTTTAAGTATGCCACCATTGGGATCTCAGTAACTTATGATTTTACAGCAAACTTTAAATGGGGAACATTCCTTTGTTTTTAAAGAGGTTCAAAAATTATTAAATCAAATGTTTGTAAATGGCCGCCATATTCTAATATGGCGGTCAACTTAGATATTTCTAATGGAACACCCTATATTTTATCATATTTTCGAATAGAACATGCAATTTAAAAAAAATTTTATTCTTGACATTTTTTCGATAAAGCCACTCGTTTAGGAGTTACAGCCGATGGAAAAATGACTTCCTGTGTACATTTTACATCATGTAGCTCCTAAACAAGTAGGTTTATAGCGAAAATGCGAAGAGTAAATAAGTCAAATAAGTCTTAAAATTGCATCCACATTCCAAAAAGATCATAAAATACGTTAAAAATATTAATTCTATTATTTAAAAAATGGCAGCCATTTTCCAAAATGGTGGCAAACTTGAAAAGTGGAAAACTGTGCATTTTATGGTCTTTATGGAATGTGGATGCAATTTTAAGACTTATATGACTTATTTACTCTTCGCATTTTTGCTATAAACCTACTTGTTTAGGAGCTACATTATGTAAAATGTACACCGGAAGTCATTTTTCCATTGGCTGTAACTCCTAAACGAGTAGGTTTATCGAAAAAATGTCAGGAATAAAAAAAAATTTAAATTGCATGTTCTATCCGAAAACATATAGGGAATGTTCCCCAATATAAACATATAGGGAATGACGAAATATAGGGTGTTCTGTAAGAAATTTAAAAGTTGACCGCCATATTGGAAAATGGCGGCCATTTACAAAAATGTTATTCAATTATTTTTGAACCTCTTTAAAAACAAGGGAATGTTCCCCATTTAAAGTTTGCTGTAAAATCATTAGTTACTAAGATCCAAATGGTGGCACACTTAAAAAAAACACCCTGTACAGTAGAATTTACCGACATGCATTGTGTATCTCACCAGTGAACTCCAGGCCTCCCAGTTTCCAGGTTCCTTTTTTGTTGACCAGGATGCTGGCAGGACAGACGTTCCTGTGGAGGACATGGCCCGAGTAGTGAAGGAAGGAAAGAGCTTCTGTGATCTGGCAACAACACATTAAAATTCAGTCATAGAGGCAAATTTCAATAAATACATATTAAACGTGGTGGAATTACGTGGTGAAATATAGTGTAAAAAACATGGATGTTTAAAAGAACTGATCGTAGTCCCCAAAAATACTTGTAAATTTCATAAACCAAATTATATTTCCCCTTGTGATTATATATTTACAGTACAGGCTCTTTACTTTATTTCTCAAAACAGGTTCCACAACGTGTATTTATTAGCTGATTGTGTAAACTATTTCATACTAAAAATAGATCAATCATGTTTAATTGTTTATAACACTATTTAGATAGAGGATCAAGGGTAAATGCAGCGGTTGTATTCCCTATGACGCAGCATTATTGCCCTCGATTACATACAACACATTAAGTAATTAATTCACGGGCGTAATTAAGTCCACCCCTCTCTCTGTACAGGCAATCGGTTTGTTTTTATAGTCTATAGCATCAAACCCAGTTGCAGTTATCTGTCGTTTATGCCTTTATGTGGTTGCACTTTGTATATGTATTCAGTGTTTTAGGTATGAATTTATAGCTAGTGAAACAAAGATTATTTGTGTGAATACTAAAACGCTTAGTAAATTATTCTATTCATGCAGTAATAATGTAGTAAGATATAAACAAGTGGAATCAGGCAAACGGAGAAATAGTACAAAGTAAAAATTAATATTTTTAATAATGATTTGGTTTATGTACTCGTTTCTGTGTTACGTAGAATGGGATGTTCATGGGATGTTGCTTGGATTTCATACCCCTTTAAATGTATTCGTCTAATAAAATTATATGAAAATATGAAATTAGTTCTACTGAATATTTTATGGACAATGCTAAACCATTATCTTTGCTAGGACAATTTGTGAAACCAATTGAAACTGTCTAACCTAACTAATAGCCTTGTAATTCCTAATTCATGAAAAATACATTCGGACAGTTATTAAAAGGATACGAAATCATGTTGTGCTCTTAAAATTATTATCTATAGTATTTTTTATTCGTCTGTAGTCAGGTGTAGTTATGAATTTAGTAATGCTATGTGTTAAATAAAAAGGTTGGTATGATAGTAAGAGTGTTATCCACAAAAATATACTAGCCATTTTTTTCATAATATATCAGTTGTACTTATGCTACAAAGCTGCATAATACGGTAGGTGTTTTTATAATTGTAGCTAAATTGTATGCTTATACCTTATAGAGTGTGTATCTAATTAATTTGTTCAGTATATTTTCTTCTTTTGAATTCCTTTTATGCTTTGAGGATGTTTAAATACTTAGTGAAGATGATAGATAGAGAAATTGAATATCGCGAAAAGAATTTTGCAAGATTTCAATTCAAAACAATAAAATACGTTGCAAAAAGGCGATTATTTATTGATATCTAGAAAATGTACACAGCACGACATTAAACAAGAATCCACATATAATATGCTGTATTCTTGGCATTTTAGTTACATTTAGTAAACAGCTTTCAAAACTCACCATGAGTTAAAATACTGCAGCCACAAAAAGAAGATTGTAACAAACTCGACGCTTAGGATTTCTACAAAATAATTTGTGTCGATAGTTTGTGAAACGGAGGACAATCTATGTATTTTATTGAACCGTAAGCAATGAAATGCAAAGAATGCTTGAAAATAATGTGTTGCCTTTTATTTACAAGGAAATCAATTAATAATAGAAACAAGCTTATTAATAGTAAATTTTTATTCCGGTTGAGATTAGTTATAGAACCTTTTTGCGCGTAACCCCAACCTAATCTACCACTTACCATTTGTCATAATATGTTTTTTACCGTCCTGTTTAAAAATAACATAGAAATTATTACGCCCGGTTATTAAAAGTATGGACGTAAACATATATTTCTTAACTATATGATTCTCACTCCGTCAAATTGTAAAATAATTGGTGCAATTCAAATTTAGATATTAAATAACATAAACAGGGTTACCTCATAATTAAACACCCCTTGCTGCTAACAGAATTAAACGGATTCAAATAAACATAGCTAATTGTTCTGTTGGTTATATTAAACTTTATTTAGTTTCATGGATGAGACTGTGTTTAAATTAAAGGCTATGAATACAATTGGAATATTGTATAATAACTCGCTGATATTTTGGCATATAATTTAATACATGTTAGCCATAAGTGTAAATATAGAATAAACCTGCACCTACTATCACAATATAAATTAATTTGATTTCAATTTGTTTTATTTTAATTAAGTAACAATATTATATCTGTTAGTATCTTCCTTTTCCACCCAAAATCGTTTGAAAAATTTATATTAATAAACCGTTTAAAGTAAAAGTTTTAATTTAATTGGAATAGTATTTGTATACATTTTATAATCTGCCAATAAGGACTTTTAAAATAATAATATTAACCTTAACCTTTTTAATGATATAGCCAATGATAATGTGTTGTTGATTTGCAATGAATGATTCATTAAACATAAATAGTTATATTCACGCTAAACCCTAGCTATTCTCACCTAATTATCTGTGGAGTGGATTAATCTACTGTTTATTTTACTTGTTGAGAATATATTGCAATTTGATTAGGTATTATTTTGTATAACACAGTGAAAAACCAAATTTACTCGGCCTTATTTTTTATGGTTTTACGTGATTATTAAGCTATAGTCTGATTTTTACCGGAGTGCGGCTGGAGCTCAGCCCTACCTGTGAGGGACCCGACTCACGCACGCACACTCACCACCATCCTAATTGCCTGAAAGCCCCGATCCCCTATTCACTAAGTAGAAATATAAGATCTGTTGTATGATACCTTAAAATTGCAATTCATTTGATTTTAGATATACAGTAAAATGGTTAGTGTTAATAAATTTGTTGTTTAATTCAATGAAAAATGAGTCCAAACACGAAATGATTATGACAAGTAGCTAGCTAATAAAAACGTGTTAAAATATTCGTAGCTTTTACACTTTGTAAGCAAAATATATATTGTTTGGTAGGTATCATTTTACTAAGCATTTTGAGCTGAAGTCAAAATCGTTACCACATTTTATAACAAACGTAAAATTAAAAAAAATTATAGTTCAATTTCCGTGAGCCAGCGATGACTCGTGCGGCAGGACAATGGTCCGTCCCACGTCCGTCCTAATCCCTTGCGTCTGTGTGTGTGAGGCCTGCGTGTGTGAGAGTATGGTCGACCCTTCAGCCAGCCGCTTTCCGTCAACAATCACACTATAAACTTATTCTCTAATGCGAGCTTTGTCTGTTTGTCGGTCTGTAATATATATCTCGAAATCCAGCGGAAGGATATTGACTAAATTAGGGACTTATAGCCGTAAAAACCTGATTGGTTACAGGCCGGCTCAGGATTTGCATTTCCCTATAACTTATTTAAACTATATTTCACTACTAGTCACGAAAGTGACCCATTAAAATTTAACATTAGTCTTACGGGTTGCCAAGTAACTATGTTTGTAGAACAAATAACAATGTAAAAGTAAACAAGAGACAAAAGGCTGTAGGCGATTAATTTTGAGGCCTAATAAATAAAAGGTTATTTAAAGATGCACGGTAAATAATGTGAATAACCTACCAAAAGTCTCTTGATGACTTGCCTGAAAGGAATCTCGATATAGGAAATTGTTCTCTATAGATAGGTGAACCCTAGTCAAACACCTCAGTTTAAACCCCTTTCTAACCAGCTGATCCTAGTTTACTTATATTCGCCTTTTTATGTTTATGCATTTTATCAGCGTTTTAGTGAGACATAGTAGGCAAGGGAACAATACAGGCCAAAAAAACGTTTATGCTGTAATGTATAGATACAACTAATAAAGAACTGAAGTTCTCTGGAACCTCCATTTGGTTGTAGAATACATTGCTAGTGCAGCCTAAAACACGTCAACTAATCCGTTTAAAAACTCATGTGAGAAACGAAATTTATGTTTTAATCATTGGGAGGCTTTCACCAAAAAACTACTGAGAATTAAAAACATGTTTTGTAAAATCCTATGTATTCACGGATTGTAAGACCCACCTGAAGAATGCCGTACTTAAGCTCGATGTCTAGGAAGTGGTACTCTCTGGCGAGGGGAGGGCGGGGTGGATTTTGAGGGGGCGGGTGTTGTGAGGCTCCCGTTGCAGGAGGACCTATCCCTCCCCCTCCACCGGGCTCCTGGTAGGCGAGGATGTTGGCCAAGCTTGCCAAGACCGGCTCCGAGGCAAAAGCCAGCGTCTCGTTGCATTCCTCGATTGGATGGTGAACCTGAAACATTTGCAAATTATCTAAATAACGAGAGCAAACGTTTTACTTTCCCCAAGTATTGTATAGAACCGATTTTAAACTTTACTTTATAACATCTGTTAAACGTTAATCTAAACAAAAATAAACAAATTCAAGAATAGTACAGCTGTTGTTTACAATACATAAAAAAAATTACTAACCGCAACTTATTATTTATTATTTTTTATTAAAAACATTACATGGGTTAATGAAAATTTCTTTTTTATTATTTGTTAATTTTACATGATGGTAAATATCACTATCATGACCAATAGTAAATAACCCATCTTCCGTATGGGTTGTGGTTATTTAGTCGAATATTCGCTATGGTTCAAATTACGCTGGGTACGCACTATTAACAAAAATTAAGTGAGAAGTTCAATGTTAAAAGTTGCTACAACTTGCATAATACAGTACATGAGATTCAAATATCCAACATCAAATCTTGTGTTGGCTGGGTATAATCTTTGACTAGTATAATACCATACCAGGATAAATACAAAGAAACTTTGTTACTCGTTTCACATTTTTGTTTCTTTTCGTACGTAGGGTTACTTATTAATAAACCTAATAACCATGCACGTATACTATTTTACGTATATTAGTTAGTTAAGACTATTTTGAATGTGTCAAAGCCCGGATAAAGACAGTCATCCTCATCCAGCTCATTTTTAAAAACTATACTGCAAAAGCCAACCCGGGACCTTTTAACGGTCCTGACATAGGTTAGTACATTTTAATGGTTCAAAACTTGGCCCAGCTGTCTGTGATCTTCAGGGTTTTATCTTCAGGGTGGTTATATTATGGCTAGTTAAACAATTGGTTTTAGTCCAAAACAAACCTACACAAGACATCTCACTTTATTCTAGACTCAGATTTAGGTTAAAATACCCATGGTAATGATAATGTACAGGCTCCTAGGACACTGTCCTATACTTGTCCTTTGAATTTTAGAGTTAACCCTCATTCTGAACCCAAACAAAGTGGTGAGTGAGATCTGCATCTCCCAATAGCGGCGATTTTAAAAATGCGTAAACATTGCAAATCATTTTTTTACTAGTTGTGTGTTTAGTTAGGGGTATTCTCGACGAGTAGCATATGAGTGAATAGTGAAGACAGGAGGAAATGATTTTATGGTGTATGAAATACTAAAAAATCAACTGATGTTTATCTTATTCCAATTTCAGACAGAATTCTTACCTGTAAGATCTTGGGATGTCTAAACCTCTCTAGCTGACGTACCGAGCCTCGCAGAAGTTCTGTGACCGTCTCTTTTCTCTTCGGTTTATGAAGTTTCTCCGCGATCCTCTTCTCGAAGACGAACACGGAGACTTCCTGTAAATACGTTATGAAACTCATCGAATATCGTGTCTTAGGTTGGCACATAAATAAGAAAACTATATCTACGTAGTTGATAGTTAAAATTGTAGTACAAATATGGAAGGAATTGTCGGATTATTTGAAAATAGACCCAAATATACTTTTGTCATTTCAGTTTAGTATCATTATAGTCCCTAGTAGCACAAATATATATTAAATACATATGAATAAATATATTTTATATATCTCAAGTGTGTATTAATGTCAATTTTATATAATATTTAAAATATATTAAATATATAAAAAATATGTTTTTGAATCTATTAAATATTAAAAAAATATGTTCCAATAATATATTTTAGTGAATAATATTTAAATAAAAAATTTATTTAATATCTCTTCCAAACATCCCATGGGTCCTAAACATAAAAACACAAAATAATAATGATTTAGTATGAAAAACACAATCTGTTGAGTAAATTGATTAAATAGTTCATAAAAACAAATTTTGAAAAAAATACTGGATAAAGTTTTTTCTGTCCAGGTGGGTCTCGAACCTGGGTCCTTCGACTTATGAGCCTCCTACCTTACCTCTGAGCTACTTGTGACTGTTGTTAGCATTAGTTTTTAAATGGTGAAAGAGACTGAGGGCTCAGTTGCAATGGTTGCAATACTTGAAATATTTTTGATACTACAGTATAATATGATTCTGTTAATCTGTTTTGGCATCAAGTAGTTGAGTTGAATAGTGCTGTAGTGAATAGTGAGTAGTCTCCACGAATACAAATACAGTAAACTACAAAAATTAATTTAAATACTATGACAAATATTATGTAATTTATGGCATATGTAAATCAAATAATTATTTTTAGAACGTCATATACACCCGTAATTAGTTTCTTAAAAGGTCGCCAGTCACTAGCACCCTTTTCTAGCCAATCATTCGAGATTTCTATGATCACATTCATTGTCACATATTGCAATTAAAAAAATAAAACCCATCAACACTTTTTTTTCGTTTGACCAAATGTAGCTGTCGAACATGTATACTGCCTCTTAACTATATGCTATTTTTTTCTTTACGTGTATGATAGAGTGACACCATTCAGAGTACGTATTAGTATTAACTTAATTTTAACACTTTCACAATAGCAATCATCATACAAAAAATGCATGTATAAATTGATAGACACTATAAAAAACAAAAAGATACAAATTATTTATTTGCTAATTATAAAAGATTATAGGCTATATATTCTACAAATATAATATTATTTTATTAATAAAAATATCTGACGTGTTTCAAAATATATTTATAAATCATTTAAATATATTATAGTTTCAAAAATATTTTATATATATATATTTAAAATATTCTCAACACATAATTTTTTTAAATATTTAATAGGAAAAATATACATATAAAATATGTATATTATAGATTCTATACTTGTTTTATCAATATATATTATGAATCTATTTTATATATTCAAAACTTATATTTAATTTATATTTTGCATTGCTTTTTGGCAATATTTTAAATATATATTTGAACATATCAAACTATTATTAAAGATATATTTTATATATATTTTATTCGAGGTTCTATCAAATACAACTTTAAATATATAAAATATTTATAAAATACATATTTGTGCTACTAGGGGTTGAATGTCAGTTGGTCGTCACTAGTTTGTTTCTCTCTGCATTTTAATGTACAGCATAGACTGTAGTCACAGAGAAGCAGTTCATCAAATCAGGTGACAAATATGTGGGAACAGATCATCTACAAGTATATAATTTCAATTATTTAGTTAAACATAATTTGATAAAATTAAAAACAGTTTAATTCATACAAATTGACTTACAAACGTGAACCTACCATTAACTTACTTATACTTTATTCTAAGATAAAGTTAGTTCATATACTAACTAATAATTTTATCACAATAATTGTATAGCAATCTTCCCATGAATTTTCACTTTGAAAAAATATTTTACTGACAAAACATGCATTTGTTCAGGTAGGCCATTCATAATCGATTACAAATCATGATATCAGTGACTGCCATCAGAGTACTGTATTCCACTGAATATTTTCGACACGTATGTTTCTGAAGTATAACAATCCAGAAGCGATCTTTTAAAGTTAGAGGAGAAAACTTTTATAACTAGTCTGCCAACAGATGATATATAGCCCTGCCAGAGGCGGTGACGACAGTTGGAGGAAACTGTTGATGAAATGAAAGAATAGTGTACGTGTAAACGAAAATATTTTATACTATTTTGAATTAAAAAAAAACGTTTAAAGTAGTAATTATTAAGTATCATGATTAAAAATACTTGTTTTGATCATATGGAGCAGATCCAATCTGCTGTTTTTTTAAATTTCATCGTATTGTGTTCCTCATTTATATTCTAGAAGCTCTTCTGGGTTCAAAAGTGTTAAATAAAACTGTGAAAACAAATTAGATAATGAGAACATAGGTATTTATAAGGTAGATTATTCTTCTCTTTTCGATCCAATAATATCTCGAACTAGAGTAGCTTAACAATAGTTAACCTAACATTTATAACGTTTTTGTAATATTTATGTATATTATGTATGACATTCTAACAAATTTCACCTCATTGTTCTCAAAACTTCATACGTTTTGCATTTACCAATTTACCGTTTTGCATATTAGGCTATATCTTAGTTGGTATTTCACACACACGCAAGGAACTGATCAAGTGTCCATTTAGCTTTTCATAAAGTATGATGTTTTAATTCATAGTTTTACTTCTTCTAACTAATCCTAACAACGATATAAGAAGATAATTGTACATCATAACTTTCTTTTTAGCACTGAACGAGATATATACATAACACAAAATAAAAATAAATCATCGTATAATATAAGACAAATACAGTGTACCTATGGTATTTTTAACACCCATAAAATATTCTTAATGATAATTAATTATCATTAAGAATATTTTATCATTAACTTAACAAAATATCTTTACAGTCTTATATTTGTTGAGTTATGGGGTTTATTAAATGTCTTAAGTTTTTGTATTAACGAAGAATAGTTTCATAGTCTTACAAATTACATACTTATGTTAACATAAGTATATATTTAATTAGTAAGGCTATGAAACTGTTTTATTTCATATTAGGCAAAATCTTCAGAAAGTTATGAGAATCAGAATTGTGAAAAAAGTAATCAAGTAGTGATCAAAATTACACGCTTATATCATAATATATCATATAAATTCATTATGAACAACGTAAGCCAGTCAATTCCAGTTAACGACCGTTACAAGCTACACAATTGATGGTGAGCTGGTGTTTTAAATTGATTAGCGGAAGCAGAGCTGATGTACTTTACGATTCCATAAAATATGTCAATAACGATCAATAAACAAAGATTGTAAAGACTGATTCAGCTCGTTGATGACTCTAGGGATCCCCATTCTACTTGTTGCTGATTCAACAGGTGTCAAAGGTTCGGGATATTTCGGGAATATTCGACAACATTCGGGATATCGACCGAGTACTTCCCAGACCAGCTCTGCGTCAACTTGCTTCCAGAATATAACATAATCCCGCCTCTGCGTTGTATTCTGTCAAGTAAAATAGTTCAAATTCTTCGAACCGATGCAATAATTAAATAATAGCAAAGAACTTTCACTCCAGTTATCGTAACATTGGAAAATCTTGATATTGTAATATGAGCTTGTTTGGTTTTAAGTTAATTATGTGTATGTAAATAAGGGTTGTTTTTCATTCCATGTAATAAAAATAAAACGAAAATAATCCAAATAAATATTTTAAGAAGTTCAACGATGAAAAGATTTGTTTTCTTTTTAACTAAAACACATGGTGATAAGTTATTTTTTTATCACTCAAAGTAATAGATAAAGACGGTATTTTTGATAGAATAAGTATTTTTGAATTTTTCATAAAATGGTCCATAGATCATTTATCTAGTGAATATAATAAGGTAGAGAAAAATCATTTATTGTACCGATTGATAGGGTGAAAGTAAAAGAAAATATTTATTTTTGTATAAATCAATGCTCCTCACTACTCACCCAAATATAACCTTGAAATTTTGGTAGTTACAATTAGCTCCCCCCCCCTCGAAAAATTAAAACAGACGTATAAAAATGTTACAGAAAATGTTGTGAAACATTAGGATCAAATGATAATAAATCTAGACTCTAGAGATTTATTGTAGGCCTATAATTATATATACCAACGATGTATTTACAACCAAACAACCTTTATCCTCCAAACGTGTTTGCGTGTATAATGTCATGATATACCTACATAGATTCCTACAAACTGAAAACATCGATTTAGTATTAGGCATTCCAAATGCAGAAACATTTGTTCTGTGATCTGTTGTAACACTCTTAACTAATGTTATCTGGTTTTAACGGGTCAAGCCATTACGTTTAATATTGAACAATTAAACATAATTACTTAAGCTAAAGGCAAAGCTGCTGAATATGTTTATCTAAAATGGATAGTCGTTAACAACTCAATTAGAATGATTGTATAACCTAATTGTAGGTAAGAATGCCCAATTGTGGATTTAATTCATTTGGCCAGCAGTTTGTTTGAGTTGGTTTACAAACAAAATAACATTTTTATTGTGTGATCCTAAATACAGTTAGCCTCCTAAATATGAATTGAGCCTTAAAAAATTTTAAAATTCCAAATAGTATTATTTTATCATTTGGAAACCTTTTATTGATAAGTATCCAAATAATTGACGTAATTGTTTTGATAAAAAACCTAAGTTAGCCTTGAGAATAATAAAGCAAAATGGCCATGTAATGTATTGAGGATGGTAACTTGAATTGCTGGCAACTTGCTCTTAGCCCCAGGGTGGCAAACATCTAAATCCACGATCGCAAAGTCTCAACAACAATTTTACAAACAAAGTTGTCAGGACGATCTTATCTTACGTTCGTGTTTCGTAATTTCATAGTAAAGTTTTGACTTTAAATATTAAGTTCAT